ATGCACTTCCCTCCTATCTAATGTTAATTCTTTTGATAGGAAATAGATATTGTATGCGAAAACCTCAAAAATAAAATCGTCCATAATATAAATTTAATACAAGTCACTCTCGCGTTATAGTGAAGTGATCCATTCTATAATAAAATTTTTATTATATTGAGAGAATTTTATATAAACTGACTTTGTGCTTCACTATATCGAGATTTAATTAGTCTTCACTATATCGAAAGATCACTATAACGAGTGGAACTTGTATCGCGCAAGCAGGAATTTCGTATTTAGTGCAGCTGCGGCGGTGGCGTGGACCACGTGACCCGCAATTTCGATGGCCGCCCTGGTCGTGTCATCTTTTACAATTACCTTTTTTATCATTATACAGAAAATTCGATTCAATGATAAAATCGAAAAAAAACAATTGCAAAAATTAGAATAAATAGAATTATATACCGCTCCAACGCAGTATGATGTCGGGAGAGGCTCAGAAAGATTTGCTTGTTCGATTGCAATTTTCATAAAATCGTAATCCGTCATTTTCGAAAAAAAAATACGTACTACTTTATATATCTGATATTACTCTAATGTATACCGCACTATACTACGTATACTTATCTGATAAATTATACTATATTGGTATACTATATACTCGACATATCTATTGACCATTCATTAAAATCAACCAAAAAAAGAAAGACAAACAACCACGATCGCCTCATAAATTTCTAAAATAAGAATTATAATGGGATTACTAAATTATCACAAAATCAAAAATAAATGCTTATCAAAGGCTATTTAGATTTAGAAGGTTTAGGAGAATAGTGGTGGTCTTTTGCTTGTAAAGCAAAATATGCGTAGGCCTTAAATATGGGTGGTGATGTTGATTGCAACGAGAGAGTTTCTGTAATATAAAGTGAAATCCGGTTCATTATATGGTCGATATATAAACCAATGCTGATCATAAGTTGCAAGAACACTATATTGAAGCATATTATCGACTATATAACCATAAATTTGTCGAATTATTGTCTTTACTGTACTGTTCACTGTATAAAATTCTAGAAATGTTTGTCCGTTCATGTCTTCAAAGAGATGCTTTCTTTTTACTTCCATTATCAAAATTAATGTTTCTTCCATATAGTAGCAAGTAAAGTCTGAGCCAGGAATATAGGCTAGATGGTCTGAAAAATCATAATTTTTTCCCATTATTTCATTTAATATCATATTAATATTGACATCTGTGGCTGTCAAAACGGTGCTTTCCTTGTTTAATAAATGACTATAATGAAATTCTGGTTTTTTGAATTTTGGGATCACATCAAATTTATATCCATTTACTTTTTCAAAAAACTCTTTCCAAAGTAGTACTTTTCTCGGTGCTTTACCGACTGCTGAACTAGTAGTTTTTGAAGTTGAAGCAAACGAAGAAAATTCAAGGATTGGCGGAATAAACAAGAGTGCTTTTTCCTGACTAATAACTGGATGATGATAAACTATGTGTAAATATTACAAGCAAAAAATATATATACACCTTATCTTAAGTAATAGATAAGAAACTTCCTTACCCTCTGGTATCTGATTTTCGATATTCTCTTGGGAGTCATATTTCAATTCTATATCAGCGATAGTAGCCATGCTACTGATCTTTTTCCTCTTTTTTGAAGAATTGGATGTGTCGGCAGATCTATGCGTATTCTTTTTTTTTCTCGATAATACAATTGATTTACTATTTGTTATGTCACTTAATGCGCTTCGTGTTTTCGTAATATCAAACTTTAAAAGGAAAAGATTGAGTGAGAAAATTATTTCTCAGAGAGTAGAACAGATAAAAAACGAAATCAATGGTGGTTTAGCTTCTTTGTTATATATAAAAGATACACAACTGACACCTCCTCCAGATCAGTAAACTTTTATCAAAGAAGTACCAACTTGGCTACTTGCGAAGATACAGATCCCATCCTCGTCAAGTCGCAGTTAACAAGAACCGTAAGAAGCTAGCAAAAAAAGTTAACATCTTACAAAGATCTGACCTACCCTCATCAAGTCGCAGTTAACGAGCGGTGCAAGAAGAGACTGGTAAAAAGCCACCATTTTGATCACATATTTATATAAAACAACTAACCTTTTTTTGTTCTAAAAGTTCCCTTGCGCGTTTACGAACTTGTTGCGAAACCTCCACATCATTAATGACTTCGTCCAAATATTTATAAAATTTCCGGTGTGCTTCCATCTTATCAACATAAATATCATTACAAATAGCATATGTCACGAAATTTTGTAAGGACCAGAATTCATATGGGAATAGGATAAAATATCTTTTATAGACGTTTATCTCTAGAATATTGTGAAATATTGTAAAAATAAATTCATAAAAACAGAACCTTCCACATGTCACACCATACAATGAAAACGAACGCTTTGTTGAATCCTTAATCTCTGCAATTAATGTCGCTGGTCCTACTTTTAAGCTACAATATTTGAACTTTTTTTCGCTCATGTCGAGAGAGAAGAGACCCACAATTTTTTCACCACGAAGTACATCGAAATGTTTTTCACTAAGTTCAAGGTTTTGTTCTTGTAAGAAGGTGATAAGATCCTCCGTATCCAGACTTTTAACGAAAAGTGGATCATCACTTGCAGAAGTGGACATGGCAAACAATCTATTATCTTGTGAAATAGGTAAGCTTAACACGTATATCTTTAAAATGGTATAACAGATAAGTATGTATTTCAGAGTGGTTATTTAGTGTTTAGTGTTAATTTACGCGACAGATTTTCTAAATTCTGATTGGGTTAAGCAATGAAACAAGTCTTACGTAACAATGCTGGGCTACGTACAAACCTGTAATGTGTGGCAGTTGTGTTTGTGACCCGTTTACAAACAAATTATGCATAAGCCAGGGTTATAACTTTAGATTTTTCTTTACGTAGTGAAGGTACATAAGTGTCACGTATTAATTTATTACATGAAAAAATATAACAGGTAAGTTAAAACTGATAAATTATTACACGTCAACCTAAATTCAATACATGGCGCAGTAATCATGTGATTGTGACCTCCAAGTAGGGTGTCCAGGATTATGATCCGGTAAATGCCAAATTATGCATCCGGTAAATTGCAAATTATGCGAATTATGCGAATTTTGAGTTATTAGCCAATAAAATTTCAAAAAGAACGACAAGTCAGGTGATTACAGTCACCGGTTTATTCATTTAACCAATCAATTTCTGTGTCACATACTGCATGAAAGTGAGCGGATTATGCGATTTCATATAGCAAAAATAGCAAATTATGCGCATATTATGCCGGATCATAATCCTGGACACCCTACCTCCAAGGTCACGTTCACGTGACTTATACGAATGATTCTGTTGGTGTTTTATCTGGAATTTGAGATATTACATGGTTAATTTGATCCACAGTTAATTTAGAGATCATCAATGCAGAAAAAGACTTCACTCGTCCTATTTTATCCGTTCCTATCTTACTAAAGAGGTGAAAAATCTTTTGGGCTCTCTCTTTTCTCTTCCGAATAGTAGTTTCAGAAGTACCATCAGGAAGTTGTTTTTCGATTTCTTTTTTAACTTCACTATTAGCGTCATTTACATTATATGATTTTTCATAATAGAACTTGAAGCGTTTTGCTATACCTAATCCAAAGTTATAATACTGGATAATTATATTCTGGTTTGGTTTTTGGATTTCACTTTCAGCAGAGGTAATTTTAGTATATAAATTTAGAAAGTCGATAGGTAGTGGGTCGGTTTCGGTAGCTGTTACTGGGTAAGAAGTTATCGTATCTGTGTTTTGTTCAGAGGTGTTGGATGTTAATTCTGTAATAAGTTTTTTTACAGTATTAGAATCTTTCTTATCGCCTTTTTCTTTATTCTGTTTTGGTTTTTTACTGAATGATTTATTTTTGGTGGTATCTTCGCTAGGTCTTTTTTGAGCCTGCTTCATATACTCTGGATATATTGAAAATTTTGATACAGTAGGGTTAGAGGCACGAAGTGCCATTGATTCTGAGGATATTGTTTCCCGGTTTTGACTAGACATTAGAGGGGAAGTTTCCATTGGAACAGCAGTATTTATTAATAAAGGCTCAATTTCTATCGCACATATAGGACATTGCGAAAGATCTTTCACATAATCCTCAAGACAGCTACGGTGAAATATGTGGCCACAAGTGAGTATGGTAAATGGTTTTTTAAGTTCGTACAAAAAAAGCTCTTCTTTACACTTTGAGCATGGATCTAGTTCTGGAACTTCAACGTCTTTTGCAATAACCTCTGAGGAGCCATTCTTAAGGATATTTAAAGCGAGATTTTTGAGGCATGAAACATTTTGAGATGTTGGGTTAGTAGACATATTCAAAGGTAAAATTTTTTATGATTAATAGGGTTGGTATACGGTATTAAGGATTATAGACAGATAAGTATTAAAATTAATCATGCGCTTTGTTTATTTTTATACATTAAACACTTTTATGCGGAGCATGAGCAAGGCCCTACAACTAAAAAATTTAATTTTAGGTAATATGAAACTAATTTTGGGTTTGGCGATCGGTTCATTCACGAATTATTTAGTATGAGGAGGGATCGCTCGATCTTCACTGGTAATCGTGAATAACTTTAGCTAAAAAATAATAGAGATTACTGCGTATAATACATATGTCTAGCTTTGCAAGAGATTTGGATAATGCATTTCTAAATATACCTGTAATTCGGAGTAATATTTGAATTAAGCAATTGCATATATTGGGTCAGGTTATCAGTAAACTTACCTAGATGTTTTACCCTGTTGTTTCTCGAATTAGCCATACTAACCTATTTACAGTAATTTACTCAATTCAAAAACTAGGAACATTGAATCCAGAATGCTTATCTCTGATTCGCGGATTTAAAACACATGATATCGCCCCCTGAGGCCATTATAACATGACATATCGCCTCTGGCTAATTTTTCTTTTTACTTTGCAACGTCTTCGCTTAATAGGACGTTTCTTTGCAGATACAGTCTTATGCATATTTATAATCTCTGATCGCAATCTAGACAAAGAAGAATCACTTGAGTCTGAAATATCTGAATTGGAAGAAGTATCTGAATCCATGAAATACTTGACTCTATTTTTCTTGCTAGCTCCGCTATTTTTGGAAACATCATCATCCAATCTTCTGGGTAATGGAGGTGCAGGAGGTATGTTGTGAAATATTCCATGACGTCTCTTTCCGCACTTATTATCTTCAACATCTGAAAGAATTTTCTTAATCATATTCGTGATCTCCTCTATTGATAAATCGGACTTATGTGGGTTATTTTTACTAGAGCTGGCTTTATTAAAATCTTCGTGGGTTAATGGGATACTCATACCATCTATTACAATTTTACCATGATGTTCATAGGTTCTGGGAGAAAACCCAAAGATAATTTTTACTTCATGCACCCATAACCAACCTTGACCCAATACCAGATCGAATGGTGGATTTTTGCGAATCTCGAAGTCTATTGTATCGGTACCATCTAAGCTATGGTGTGTCTCTTTATACCGGAATTGTAAATCCAAACAACGAATCTCACCTATTGCATCTTTATAGAGGTTTTTAACGGGACCACAGGTTGGTCTTATTCCATGATCGGTTCCAAGCTTATCGAACAAGCTCTTGCTAATGGTATTAAACTTCGACGATGTATCAATTAACGCTTTTACTGGGATTCTTCCTTCGACAAGACAATCTATGAAAACCATGTCAAATATTATTTAATAATGTATATTATAACCGAAAAAATAACCAAGTTCGGATAATTAATTTTAGGCAGATATACTATGTATTTTCCGGATATTCTCAATTGCACTTAACCTCACAACTAGTTCTATTGAGCAACGTAAGAGTTTTATTTGGGAAGTCCACTTTCATTGCATTTTCCTGGAACCATGGCTGACTCAATATCAGTACAGATTCAAGTTCAGGATCATTGGTAATGAAAACATCAGTAACTTTTACTTGCTTTGATTCATTATCTTTGGATTGAAAAGAGTGATTTATTTCATGGAGCATCCCTATTATTGGTAGCCTATCTCCTGTAGTTAATATATGTGGTGGTTTTTCAGATTCTATATGAGCATTATTGATTTTCAAACCTAACTCATCTACTAAGCTCTTACTTATAACATTACAATCAGCACCGGAATCTAATATAGCCATAACTAGTACTTTGTTAATTTCGCAGGATAAAGTTATCATTGTGATGCTTTATTATAATTATATATTTAATGATGTATTTTTTACTTCGTATTAATAAATAATAATTCAACTATTATAATGACCGAAGCTGATAGAACCGTATCCCATATTACTAAACAGGTATCGGGTAAAAAAATCTGGATCTCTCTTCACCAATTACTGAAAATAGTGAAACCCGAAATTCAGCAAGATATTATAAACTCAATAACAAACCAGGATATTTCTCGAAGAAATCATACACCATGCAAGGCTAAAAGAAAAAAGAGATTTTTAAATGATACCGCATCTGAGTCCTCATCCTTGTCTTCATCCTCATCTGGGTTTGGGTCCAACTCTGAATCGTCTAGTAATAAAGAGGGTGAAATTAGAGTGAATGGGATAAAAGCAAAGAAGTGCAATTAGTAATTATATAGGTCAATGATATCCTCGACTTTGACTTCGGCATTTTCTTGCTTAGGTACTGGAGGTATAGTTACTGTATGACTGTCCTTGGTATTTTTATGTATAGATTCACACCCAATAGCTCTATAAGGTACACGAGCATAATGCTCTACTGGTGATACATATTTTGGATTATGCCTTAAAGCTTCTCATATAATAATAAATCTTTGATCGGGATTTTCAGGTTCATGTATCATAGCAGTATAGTTTGCACCCAATTCATGCAAATCACTTGGCTTAATACCGTAAGGCTTTAGAAATAAATTGAACCACTTTATATCTGGTATTCCGGGATCCCGCAAAGTGCCACTTGCAATTGCTTTTTGAATCCAAGTAGTAATTTGCAAGCCCGTTTTTCATCTTTTACCATTGAACGAAATTTCCTAGGTTTGCCTTTATCTATTTCACGACCTTTAGCATATCCTGTTACGCGTCCATTAGCAATATGAAGAGTCGTAACTTCAGCAAGACGCATACAGAGCATTGTAATTATATTGGCAAGGGCTTGTTCGGTAGGATATCCAGATATACCGTATCCTTGGAGCCTTTCAAGTATAGCTTCAGGCATAAAATGCTCGGAAGGATCTAGTTTTTGATGCGTGAGTATTTCTCGTCTCATTTTTTGAAGCCGGTTCGATTCTTCAATTATATCACGATCTTTTGTTGCATCAATCACTTCATCTGATGCCCCATTCTTACGCAATTCTCTTCGGAGATATGAAAGTCGTGAGGATCTGGCAATATCGTCAGTCGTTTCTTTATCATCTAAATAGGCAATATAAGATACATCTTCATTTATTTCCATACGTGATAAATTACTATTCTTTAGAATACTTTGGGCTATATCTTTGATAGAATTCTCTTTTGGAGTATGACGCCCAGATTTTTGAAAAGGGACGAGAGCACGTATCTGTTCTTTACTATATCCTATTTGTCTGAGACACCTTCGCGCCTAGTCTCTGGATCCACGGAAAAGATCCTTAGTTAATTCATCTGTATATCTGCTAAGCTCAGATGGAGAAATTTGAGGTGATATCTTGTAGGCTTTGATGATTTTTGTCACAGCAGAAGACATCGATAATATAGTATGGCTAGTATGGTATAGTTAAATTTGTAGATTATGTTTAGTCGAAGTATACATTATGTAGATTCTTTTTTCAAATCGAAATTATTTATATGTCTTTGACACTGGGCTCTGCACATCTCGTGTTGGTATATCTATACCCAAAAAATGAATGGGTCGTGGTTAATGTAATTCTATTGAAAAATGGATATAAGTAAGATACACGATCTGTCAGATATGAAGTGCAATTTCTCCCTACATAAAGTTATGGAATCGATAGCTCTACGTAATAAAATTGCTGAAAATATCAAAGACATCAAAGAGGATATTGCTTTACTTAAAGAGATCCTAGAAAAAATAATCGATAAATGCCAAGCGCGTGATACATGTCAATGCCTTGGATCAGGTCTGTCGATTTGAAATCCTTTTTCTTCTCACATACATGTTCGGAAAAAGAGAGTATATATGATAAATTAAAAAGATAACCTATAATATCTGGCTTCGAGCAATTATTGCGAGAAGTCGGGAACATAACGAAAAAATTGCTATGCATGCAGTACATATAGCTTTGGGGGGTGGGATCCCAGGCTATATCAAATTACTAGATTTTTTACTTTTACGCAAATAAATTCTGGTATGTTTCTGTACTTATGAGATATTTCCGATATATGTCAGGCCTGTTTTGTAATATTTCAGATGGTGGTAATACTGCGGGTCTCCATATATTAAATAAGAAGGCTGTATGTTCGGGACAATCATAATCAATACATTCAGATATTTCTGAGTAATTCGATAAATCATTGACATGTCTATATCCATTGCGGATTAGTTTACAGAATGTTGGGCCGTTTGGATCAATTAATCGACCAGTTAATAGGTTGAGTACTTTGTCTAGGTTATGCATTTTTTATATAATATATATAGGGCATAAAGAACACAGTTTCCATAATAATTTAATCTGAAAATTTTCTATCGCCTATATGTAGAAGCAAAAAATCTCCCTATATCCAAGCTCCTACCTACGAAACTCACATATTCTTTCCTTATTAATCGGGCAATTCACTATAGATATCCATTTTCCTGGAGTATTGCTATGATTTTTTCCCATTCTTCGTCATCATAAATATATGTATATGATCGGGGTTTACTATTATCTTCATACATCCGAAGCTTAATTTCTATGCATATCAATTTTTCTCATCTGGATAGTTCTATTAACTCCTTTGGATCAAGACCATCTTGTCATGCAAAGTCGATCATATCTGCGTCTGCCATCATCTTATCCCGAAATATTCTCACTAAGTCTCTATCTTTTTCAGTTATGGTTACGAACTTATCTGGATCTTCACTATACTTAACTGCATATTTTCTTAAACTCGCCTCCCTTTCTGCTCTGGTTGGAAGTGAAGAGGGTGATGCTTCCGGTTGGGAGGTGGCTTCTTCATTGCTGAATTTGGATTTATCATTCCCAGGTAAGTCGGGAAAGATCTCGGGCTCATTATCAACAGGTGTGTTGGAAAAGGAATCAGGTTCATCACTTACTAATTCGATAATTTCTGGAGATTTAGGTTTATCGTCTATTGGTTCTATGTCTATGATCTCGGGAGTCATAGATATATTAGTAGACATGGGTGACGAAGCAACTGAAAATTCTGGTTGATCTATTATTGAATCGAAGAGATCCTGGGTCATATTAGTAGTAGATGGAGCGGGAAATGTTTCTTTACCTTTTTTGATGTGATCGGTGGTCGATGACTCGGCTATATTTTTCTCTGGTTGAGGTGTAACAATTTCAGGTATGTTGAATACAGGGATATCTGTAGAAGTGTTGACGAGTGTCTCAGGTTGAGATGAGTCTGAAAATTCTTCGATGTTGTCTACTGATTCACGTAACTTAGCTACTATTTTGGATCGATCAAGGATATAGACCCATTCTCTTTTTCCATTGATGCGTACTTGCTTTTTCTCAATCCCTATTGGTGAAAGAAAACCTCCAAATTTATTATAACTGATTCAATCCTTTCCATCATTTCCGCACCAAGTAAGATAATCTTGATATAAATCCCAGAGATCGTTTTATTGATTTGATTTTCAGGCCATGATTTAATATGTTGTATTATATAGTGGGTGGGGTTTGGAAGTTGTTTCATTATTGTTTCTGTTTTCATTTTAGTACTGAGAATTTCTTGTGGGTTCCAATTTGAAAGATTACGATTAAGAAAATATGATATAACTACTCCTGGTACATCAGGATGTTCTAGTATTTTAGCCAAACGCTTGAAATATGGTATATTCTCTCTACAGCGTGCAGATACATCAAAACAAACTATACGAGCATCCCTCTATCTATTTTGAGTGGGGCATCCTAGTTACTTGTTACCATAAATGCAGAGTAATCTTTTAAATAAATAGGTTTAATACCTTTATGTTCTATAGACACTTTTGGATCCGTTATAAGGGATTTGAGATGTTTATTAAATTTATGCTATTCTCCACTAGACATACTGGTCTCATTCATAACTACCAACTTTTTACCTTGAATAAGACTGTTAAATTTTCCAAGAATTTTTCCTAGATCAGATGTGGCATAATAGAGATTTGGTCCTAAGACTTTATCACCAATAAACTTGACAATAATATTTTTTCCACATTGTTGAAGAGTAGACTTTAATACATAAATTGAATGAGGTTTCTTTTTTGGTTTTTGTATTAAAAATGACCACCAGTTCCAAATGTATTCATTAAGGTTTTGATCCTCATTACAGATTACATTGCTCATATGCCAAAGAATAGGATCTATGATTTCTGGATTAATCTTATTTGCCAGTTTAGCTGAAAACCCCAAGAAAAGATTGAAGAAATTCGTC